TACTGTACAGGCTTTCCTTTCCCATAAGCAAGAATTGCACTACAGTCCACTTCTACTTGAGCTGTGTCAAATAAAACAGAGGTTCATATTCAATGTACTCAGTAAAAATGTATATTGCTGGACAACATAATATCCTTGCACTGACTCCTTGTGTACAGAGTAATGCTGAAAGTTGTAGTTGTCAGCCTGCTGCTGCTGCCTTACTACCAAAAGCACCTAGAAAAAGCTAAAAATGTATGCAATTATGTAACTTATACTGAAAAGGAAAATGTACTTGTTTATTTTAGTAAATAATTTTCAAAAAATCAGTTCAAACTTTATTTGGTGTAACTGCTGCTGTTGTCACTTATAGAAGTAGTACCGAGCTGTCACTGAAAGCCATCACTTAGGCTACTTGGTTCCATCAGTTGTTGGTAACAGCTATACTTCAACTGCTTTGAGAATGCAGAGGAGTTGAGGTATCACTTTGGTAGCAATTCAGTTAATATGTACTGCATGCTCAAAACGGTGAGGTAGGAGCTGTACTAAGTACACTTCTTGGCAAGGTAAGCATGGAGGCATCTATTCCTGGTAAGACTGTCTTACATTAACAACTGTTCTATACTTAAGCTCTCCTGCATGAGACCAAAAAACACACCTCCTTAAAGTTGCTAGTGTATTTATTAAATGTATTCAACATCTTATAAACACCCGCAGTTAAGAAAAATGAAGTGATTTCAGAGCCAAACTTTTTCCTCAACAGACCACTGTAATTAAAGAGTGGCAATAAGCAGTTCTTTTATAAGATGCTCAGAAGAGGTATCTAGTTCCCTGACCTTGTTGCTGTCTTATTTCAATTCTTACATAGTAATGCCTATTATAAGAGTGTTTTAGGGAACATCAGCTCCTTATTCAAAGGATGGATGTGATCCATCATTAAACAGGGAAACACTTTTACTTAAGAACCCCCATTCCACGTGTTACTTTATGGAAAATCTACTAGCTCCCTGTAAGAAGTAGCTGACAGCAGACAAAGTTTGAGGCTACTTTGTTTTGCAAGACATAACTATGGAAGTGCTTTAAGACCACAGCCTGTATGTTACTATAATGCAAGGCTCTGTGTAGTCAGGAATCTATTCAGATTTATACTAATAGACTGCATAGATTATGACACACAAATCCAGCAGTGAACAGTTTAAAGTCCCAGGCTTGTTTTAAATTTCAGCTCCTTAGACTTGAAGTATAGCTCCCATTTGAAGTGTTAGCTTTTTTTCCCTAGATATTTGCATCCTAGACATCCACAGAGCAAACCAACTCTTAACAACTACAAGGGAGTGCCCTATCGTCAATATGTATGCCCTTGGCAATGTTGTGCTCTCGTGTTTTTTTGTGGTTTTTTTATCTGGAAATACCTGCTCAGACATACTGCTTCTCTCATTTAACACTTGCTGAATAGACAAAAGAATCCGGATAAACAGAAGATGTATAAGAAGAGATGGTAGATCAGAATATTTAAAAATTATGGAGTTAGCATTGCTATAAAAGGTATTACTGCTTTTGGAAGTATTTGAGGAAGTAAATCAACATTCAGAAACCTTTCAATTGCTTGTTGTTAGGCTCCTTTGCTACTTCAGAGTTATGGCAGCTATGAAAAATTTTGTAAAGCAAAAGGCAGAAAACACCATGCAAGGTTAGTCCAGGATTAACCAAATTTGTTCCACAACAGATGAAGACTACTTCTGTTTCAAGAGAAAAAGCTGGCCAATACCCTCAGATGTTTTTACAGCAATAACTAACTGTGACTAAGTTACATAGTAGAACACTGTTCTGTACATTTCAGCACCACATGTAATCTTAGTAGATTTATATTGGGAGTTTCTCAGTTTTCCCTTCTCACCACCTCCACTCTACAAGTGAAACAGTTATTTCCGTGCATAATTACACTTGCAGGTTTTTAGTTTTGGAATTATTGAGGTAGAAAAGTGTTACCCTAGTTAACAATATAAGCCATTCATGTATTTTGTCTCAGATGTATTTTACTTGCTCTCCAATTTTCCATTGCAGCAAGATATGCTTTTCATCCATTTATTCAATCAACATTTAGATAGCGCGTTGCTGTTTCAAGTGCAGCAAAGGTGAATTAGCAACTGCAAGTCACTGCATTGGGTAAACAGCAAATTGTTTCACCGTACAGCCTTCATAGAGGAAAGTTCTACAAGTTGCTGCACAAGCATCATGTGCTGCAGTTCATGCTATAGCTACCCCTGTGTTAAGAGGCTTAATTCATCTTTCATCAAGGCATAGGCTAGCATGAATTTACCAGTTATCATCATTTAAGTGTACCCATGAGATACATGCTGCATGCTCAGAAGAGTTACATATGTAGGCTGACCCTAATTATTTTTTTTCCTTAGTCACTGGTAGAAATATACTCTATGAAAAGTAATTCTTCCAAGCCCTTCCCAGATAGGCTATTGTCTTGCAGCTCAAAACTGCTGCAAGTCAACACAAGTCTGTATTTCCCCTCTACCTCCTCCCCCCTAAGAACATTCTGGGAATCTAAGGCTCAAGCATCGGAGAAATTACAATTTAAATTGCCTTGCAAGTGCAATTGCATTGGCAGTAGGTTGAATCACTATATTTCACCTACTGGACTAGCATTTGCTAGGCATCTGTTACCGATACTTGACTGGAAAGTTTAAGTTATGTTACTTAGTTCCTTTATCATCCTGAAGTATAGTCACATGTCAATCGCAGTCTTTCAAAGAATAGATGGACACATTTCATAGTTCGAAGTTAGGTGATGTTGATTATGCTGGGATGAAAACTGGAGCATTACAAAAAAAATATAAAATATCACAATATTCCTATCTTCCCAACCACACCCATTCCTTTGTTAGCATTAAGATTTTTGCGAAATAAAAATAGAAGGGAAACTTCCTAGTTGCATAGCAGCAACTAGTTCTGCCAAGTTTTTCAAGGACAGGAAACTAAACAAAGACATTTCTAAGAGAAAATAGTTTTAGAACACATTCAGTTATAAAAGTATGTATTTTTTGTGCACAATATATAGTTTAACAATCAAAAGCAGAAACTGTAAACCTTCATTCTTAATTGCATTCAGAAATACAAAGATGTACAAGTGTTGATTCCATCCCATAGATATGGAAATTAAGCATCTATTCTATAGACAACAGTTAGACAATCCAAGAAGCAGACTGTGTTGTTTGCTAACATAAAGGCACCAACTCTCACACAGATTTGGCTCTTGCTGCATCAGAAAATAGTATTGATACTCTGCTAATACTCAAGCTTAGAGTCTCAGAAATTATTGCCTTGTGTGGTACTCATTGTGATATTTCAATTCTGACAATCACAGCATTCTCTCAGCCAACATGCATATTTGTTGTTAGAGCTCAGGGAAGTCAAGAACATGGACTGGTAATGGCAAGGGAGAAATATATTCCAATGTTTGGAATGTCCAGGTGCTACAGAGCAGGTTTGCACTGTTGCAAGCAGAATAAGGTAACCACTTTAGTCTTCTGTTCCAGGAGACAATCATAATTAAATAATGTATACTTTGCTTTCACAACCAGCAGCAAATATTCCCTCAGTCAACCTGAAGTTCACAAGAAGGCAAAAAAAAAAAAGCATACAATCCCCTATGCTTTCCCATGCAAGTGGTTGTTAGAAATTTACTATGCAATGTTCTGAAAAGTACTTCTTTGCTACTTGTGCTTCTAATCACATAATCTTAACTTAATAATGGGGTAGATAATAAGCTTTTAAAATTCATTAGCTTTCCAACAATTACTGGAAGCCAGACAGAAGCCTACTGAAGTGTCCAGCCCCCTAAAAATTACTTTACCTTATTCACATAAGACAGTCTACCACTGGCCTAGTTATTACATGCAGCATCCTTTGGTCAGGTGTTTTTTTGTGTTTTCATCGTGTTCCCTGCTCCCCCCCCCTTTTTTCCCTTTTAAGTATCAAGTTGTCCTGGGAGTGAACTGAGAATATACCAGCAATACTAATTGTAGTTCTACTAAAAAGAAAACAAAACACATTGTCTTACATTTCAGCAGATTAGTGTCATCTCTCTAGCCCTAGGATTCATTATTAATGGCTACTTGTGGACTATCCTTCCAAAAAAACTACCCCATAATGCTATTAGTTTTAATTATTCCTCCAATCAATTTGAAGATTTTTGTCATCCAACATTAAGTATCACAGGTTAGTCCAAAGCATCATTTTCACCTTTAAAACAGGCATAATATATTGCTGGGTGCAGTTAAAATTATACAGGTCACTTGCCATTTACTTAAAAAAAAAAAAAAAAAAAAGAAAAATTAAAGAAAACTCTGGGAACAAATCCGATTATATTACAGTAAAACCATAATGTTTTTCTTCTTCATAGGAATACAGCTTTACGTCACCTGGTCAGAAACTCCTCTATTCTGCAACAGAACAGGAACATTTTAGTTGCAACTTGCACATGTAATATTTCTAATTGCCAGTCCCAAAGTCTGCAATAATAAACCAGTCAGAAATCTACTTAGAACTAGTTTATTTAGAACTAGCATACAGTTCTTAAGTAGGTACTGCTTCCTCCAGACCTGTGACAAAGAAGTTTCATAATAAGCTTCCCTGTTTTCAGTAGGTTTAAGAAGCTCCCCCAAAGTCACTGCTGAGAACAAACTCTGCACCAGATCTCAGTCACTATTTTGCACTGGAGAAAGGCATAAACTGAACTCCAGTGAAAACTAGACAAAATAGAATTTGACACTGGATGCGAGAAAGCTGCATGCTTTTCTACTTGGTTTCTTCCAGTTAAGATGCATCACTCAACCACTTAAAAGTTAACTTTTTGATGAGGGGCATAAAATTTTCCATCAAATAAATACTTTAGGGAGATAGTTTTATTTTCTTCTACTCACATGTGCATGGCATTCAGATCAGGTATATATACACACAACAGATATTACCAGAACAACACAGCATGATTTCCCAGTCGTGGCCTCCAAACCAATGTCAATTTACTGTAAAGAAACAGAAGCCTGGGTAACCCTCCAGTTACCTTTACCTTAAAGTTCATGTGGTTAGGAAGTGTTTTAAAGCCCTTAACCCACAAGTAGTAAGTAGTGGGCCTCTTCAATTCTGTAAATCACAAACTCAACCCCAAACCAATCATGAGGTTTGGATTGTAAAACTATGGTTAGCCTGCTAGAGATACAAGTCAGACAATATTCACCGAGTCCCTATTTTAGTGAAGACACTCAACTTATGAGGTATTTCAAATAGTGCAAAGTGCCCTCTCCAACTTTCCACAACTGTGACTTCAGGTTACCCTGCTTGTTCAACTTCAATAAAGGACTATATTTTGGGTGCAGAAAAAAAGAGACTGGGAGGGGGAAAAAACATGCAAGGAGATTCTCAAAGCCATAACACTTTTAGCCCTGAGCAGTTTAAAGAAAGTGAAGGCAAACGAGTAGGAGGAAGTTATGTTGGCTGCTTTCTCAGAGTCAAGGCCACATTTACAAGAAGCAATTAAAAAAAAAAAAAAGAGAAAATTAATCCCTACAGAAAGGGTAATGCTTCATTTTTCCCAGCCCCTCTTATTTCAGAATAGGAGAAGTTTCACAGATCCATGAATATGGTGGCTTGCAGCTGGAGAGACAGTGTCATTGAACAATGACAGCAGGCTTTAATTGTCAATTAGTTTCTTGGCTCTGATGTTGGCTTGCTCAATGCGTTCCCTGTTTGTATCGGCCTGAAAGAGAAATTCATAGATCATTTGCAGATTTCAGGGAAAACAATTTAAAAATTCAAACTGACATGAAATTCTGAATTGCAGGTTATTATCATTGCGGTAGACAGAAGGAGAGCAACTTTTATAAGCTGCGAGAGTTATCAGAATTAATTTAAATATCCTGAGATAGATTGCCAGTCTCAAAGCCAGGAATTGCACTTTCATTTTTACTGCTGTTTCACAAAGCAATTCTAACTTGTTTACATCATATTTTAAGAGTTAGTAAGACTTGATCAGCAAAATTTATTCCAACCACTAAAATGAAAGAGCATATCAGGCCAAAACAGGTGCTTGAAACTACCATAAACACTACTGCTAAAACCAGTAATTCCCATTTGCAGTTAATTTGACCAGGCAATTTTCACTCCACTTTATAAGCTGTAAGAATGTCACATCTAATTTTAAACTCAGATTAGATTTTCTAGTGTTCTTTAAAATGTTTGATTTTTTACTTGATAACCACCTCAGATCCGCAGTTACAGAACAGCGAAAGACAATTAAGGCATCCTTCATAAGATCATGTTGATTGGTCTTATTAATAGCACAGTACCTAAATTACTAGGCAAAATTGAGATGCTGACATAGGTACAACCAGCATTTATGTCAGACTAGCTCTGCATATTTGAGAAAATTCTGCTCCTCTTACTTTTAACCCTACCAGGCATTTCAGTGATATCTAACTTCCCGTTTTGTCTCAATGCTGTAATTTTACAGCAATTGGTGTTCACTTCTGCTTTTTAGAAGTCTTTAATAGACACCATTCATTGAAGCTTTCATTTCCTTTCTTAACCAGGATGCCTGTAAAAGAACTTCTATTCATTTCAGAATATGGGGATTTCTAAAATACAACTAAGTTCCTTAATAAGTTGCCTCCACCCCCATTTATATCCTATTCATCTGTTTTAGAAAGTTAATATAATAATGACTAACTTTCTGTGCCTAGTAGGGCAGACCATGTCCCTATGCACCTACAAAACCTGTTACTCCAAGGTCTCCCCAGCCCCAATATTAACCTGTCCACAAGAATTAGGGCAATTAATTACCTGTGTTGTATTTTATGTTCAATGATTATAGTAGCTTCTTAGGAATTCCAGAAGAATCTTACTAGTGTTAAAAATACCTACTCCCTACCACATACCAGACTCTCCGTGAGCAACAATCCCCCAGTTATACCTCCAGTAAATGTCTCTGCTCTTTTGATCCAGTCAAGTTTGGTTGCTTTCAGAGTAACTAGTGACCTGTGCTGTATTTTTAGGTTTCCTGACACTCTGAAGCATTTGAATTTTCAACTATGTACCCAAACACCAATATATATCTCTTGTTCAGATCACTGCAACCTAGAGGATGGTTTACTCTTAATGCATATTTACTGCAAATACAGGTAGATAGGACAGCGAGCCCATTCCTTAGAACTTCTTGGTAACAACCTCTAAGCTGAAAGCAGAGAACACCCTGGACACTTACCTTTACATTTATCCTGTCTATTTGTTTATTCTGGGCATCAATCTCATTGCCCATATCCAGAGCCATGTTTTTCAAATTCCCAAGAATGTTTCCCACTTGAGCGAGATTTTCATCCATTTCATCTTCTCTGGCATCATTTGTTATCCTGTTCAAATAATTAAGACGATGTTTCCAAGAATCAAGAACTTGCTTTTCCCTACCCTGAATTTACTTTAATAGAAATTGTTTGTTGCACAGTTATCTGACAGGCAATGTATTCAAGCCAATTTTTCCCCTTTTAAAACCCCACGTATTCCAAGCAAGTGGCTCACCAAAAAAAGGTGCTAAGCTAGCTGCTACTACAAAAATAGCCTTAGAATTTAAGATGACCACTACAATACTGAAAGTGGAGGTGTCTGCCATCTCCTCTTCAAGCAGTAATGATTCCTCCAAGCAGTAGTAAAAAGCTTACTATTTAGCCACTTCACCTAAAATGCATCTGCAAGAAGCTGAAAACTGGGAAATTAGGATTTCTGCATTTGAGGTTGAAAAATATGAAGAAGCAAACCTTGTAATATATCCACCACTTGGTCCTCCAGAAGTCTGAGGCTGCTGCCGATTTATACTTCTTGGTTGCATGGATATCACATGATCTGCCGAGTTCTCTGTTCCATCTCCCCAGGTTGCTCTGTATGCCTTGCTTGCCTCGAAGTTTTTTGTCCTACTCCGTAAAATAAGAAATCTGAACTGCTACATCAGAAATGTGGCTTCCTGAATGAAGTTCTGTATTAATCTAGGACTTTCAGAAACATTTGTCTTGTGCCTTAGAGAGATTAGATTTTGTGTAGACAAAACCTTGTCTATGCAATACAATTTCTTATATCAGGATAGTACAAACATAACTGAGTTACTCTAGAGACAGTGATTAATTTGTTCTTAAGCTTTAATACAAGCGCAGTAGTTTCCTTGAAGTAATACACTTTACCAGAAGAGGGGAAGCTCATGACAGCAATAGGAAAGCTTACACTGTCATAAGATAAAGTTGCTTTTACAACAGGAATTAGTATAGAGTCAGGATTAGTTACTTTTCAGGGAAGAAATAGCAATGAAGGAAAAAAGCTCCCTCAGATACAAGTAGTTACACTACACAAGAAAACCATTAATCTCTACTGGTTTATTTCTCAAATGTTTTCTATTGTCAAGTCTTTCTTTTTAAACGTTAATGTTTCTCACATTAATTTTGATGATGAAATAACAGTAATCATGTTTAAATAGCTACTTCATTCTGCAATTCAATTGTATTAACCCAATTAAAGTGACAAACCAACTTACCATTACACTTTTACAATGTAATTCAGAAGAGGAAAAAAAATTAAAGAACGCACACTGACATGAAGCAATCTCAAGAATCACAGACTGACAAAAGCAAGGGAAGGAAAATATAACAAAAAACCAACTGATCTAAGTTGGGGTAATTTCTCATGAACCCTAAAGAACATATTTTGAGAAGAATATTCTCATGTCCACCTTGTTTGCTAGCATTTTCATGTTTAAACTCCTATTTCTGTTTAACATCTTTATTGATGATCTCAATAAGGAATAGGGTGTATCATCAGCAAGTTCGCAGATGACACCAAGTTAAGCAGGAGTGTTGATTCCCAGGAGGATAGGGAAGCTCTACAGAGAGACTTAGATAGATTGGATCATTGGGCCAACATCAATAGTATGAGTTTCAACAAGGGCAAGTGCCGGGTCCTGCACTTGGACCACAATAACCCCATGCAGCGCTACAGGCTTGGGGAAGTGTGGCTGGAAAGCTGCCTGGCAGAAAGAGACCTGGAGGTTCTAATTGACAAGCGGCTGAATATGAGCCAGCAGTGTGCCCAGGTGGCCAAGAAAGTCAACATCATCCTGGCTTGTATTAGAAATAGCGTGTCCAGCAGAAGTAGGGAGGTGACTGTGCCCCTGTACTCAGCACTGGTGAGGCCACACCTCGAGTATTGTGTCCAGTTTTGGGCACCTCAATACAAGAGAGATATTGAGGTGCTGGAGCGAGTGCAGAGGAGGGCAATGAAGCTGGTGAAGGGCCTAGTAAACAAATCATATGAAGAGCAGTTGAAGGAGCTGGGACTGTTTAGTTTGAGGAGGAGGCGGCTGCGGGGAGACCTCATCACTCTCTACAACTATTTGAAAGTACACTGTAGAGAGGTTGGTGCTGGTCTCATCTCACAGGTAACTAATGACAGAACCAGAGGGAATGGCTTCAAGCTCCAACAGGGTAGATTTAGACTGAGCATTAGGAAAGAATTTTTCACAGAAAGAGTGGTCGGGCATTGGAATAGACTGCCCAGGGAGGTGGTTGAGTCACCATCCCTGGATGTGTTTAAGAGACGTTTAGATGTGGAGTTGGGGGATATGGTGTAGGGGAGAACTTTGTAGAGTAGGGATCATAGAGTCCAACCATCTACCCAAGGGTCTCTTCCAACCTAGACAATTTTATGATTCTATAAACTAGATAATCCAGACTCCACTGCCATTTTCCTGCTTCTTTAAAAGCAGAAAGACTTCCCTGTAAAGGGAAGTCTTTCAGTACAGCTAAATTTACAATTACAGGTAACAAATTTCTATATCTAAAATGCCTTTCAGTAGCCCAAATGTTTTACATTGGAAGAGGTGTGAAATTAGCTGTAATGAAGAAGTATTCCCCTCATTCTTCTGGCATTTATGTAATGAAAATGGGAAGTTGTATTTCATAGGTCAGATACTATGAAAAGTAATTTAGTATGAATACATCAAGGGGAAGAAATGGAATAATTTCTCACTTTTTAATGGAACTGTTGCACCCAGCAGAACCCTAAGGAAACCTAAACTAGTCAATTCTAGCTCCTTGTGGATACAGGCTTAAAGTTCTCTTAGGTTTACTGCAACTAGATCGAGTATTACATTTTAATCTCATTCATACTAAAGCCACAACAGCAGAACTTGTAATGCTTCCGGATTAGCAAAATATTAGGTGCCAGAGGTAACTGAGGAATTTATTAAACAAAATCAAGTGGCCTGAAAACTACTTGCATACCTGAAGTAGACAGCTAGAAAAAGAACTGTTGCTCAAAGTAAGCACAATTAAGAACAAAGCTTCTCACCACCTGATTTTTAAAAGCTGTTTTTCAAATTCATATTCATGGTTTTCAAATACATTCACTTTACTCATGCTTCATTTCTGTAAGAGTAAGGCAATTTAGACAACTTGTCAAGTTGTATAAACGTGCTCAAGCAGTTGTTCGTTTCCACAGCTAATACACTCTATAGTAACTGACATTTTCCATTCACATCAGTATTACAACACATCACAGTCACAAGGAGACCTTCATGCAGACATGCACATGCAAGCACAAATCTAACGGAAGCATCACTTCAGACAGCTGGTTAAATGTACATCAGCACTAATAAGACTGACCTTGTCCTAAAATCCGCTTTCACCAGTTAAGTGAATACAGCTTCTTATCCTAGTCTTCATTTTTAGAAAGCAAGAGTCAGTGTTAGGAGAGAATGGAGAAGAAAGAATAGTAAAGACCAGCAAACAGGTAAATTGTTATTAGTACATATATTATATTAGAGTACTGCCAGTATTTTGTGTTTTCACAAAGCTTTTATAAATAATCTAAGCCTAGGAGAAATGAGAAAAGCAGTATTTATTTCAGCAAGTGTTCTGATTTAGCCTTTTGCAAAAAATGGAAAGTTTTGGAGATAACTGGTTGACAAGAAATTCTGATAGAAAAACTGATGTACCAGTAGCTGTATGACAGGCATCCACAGTTTCTTCTTCCTCATTACCCTCTACCTATCTAGTAGATTTTTCTGCACATTTTCTTGTATACAACTTATTGCTTCTGTTATTGTTAACCACGTATTTGGAGTGCCACAAGAGTTCACAAATTTTGAGCTTACTTAGTGTCAATAAGCTGCTTGGCTTCAGTGAAATAAGACTGTCAACTACAGAAAACAAAGACTTGAGTGTATCAAAATGCTCAAAGTCCATCAGCTTGATAAAACTAATATAAAAACTGTAAGCACACCTATCCAGAGGTCAGGACAGAACTATCTGCCTTTTCAAGATACTAAAACTCTAAGGACTTTCAGCCTTCGAAGCCACATTCATCTCTATCCTAAATGATCCTCAAAGTATTATTTTTTATATATATATATATATATATATATAAGCAGACTCGGCTACTCCAAGGAATTTTAATCTAGATTTCTGCTACCTCTCAGTTGAATGCTGAAGAGCTAAAAATGAACAAACACACACATACTATTCACTTCAGCAGTCACGCTCTTAAAATAACTCATTTCTCCTTCCCTTGGAAGAACTATGATCACATCCAATTCACACAAATCAATGTTACTTTGCTGCTTAAAGATAAAGCTAGCACACCTCCAAAAAATAAATATTGTTTTCCTTATAATACTAATTCCTGATCATTGTTTAGGTGTTTAGAAATACAAATCAAGTGCCATACAAAAAGATTAGATTCCTTCCTTCTCCAAAAGAGAAGTTTTTTTGCTTTTAAGTTAATACAAAAGTACTTTTGTGAAAAAGTGATTTTTGCAGTCAAATTTCTAACAGACAGGCACTTACGTATAGCTATTTGCAGTGCAATTTGGTCTCATCTGTATTGACATTGATAGTATTCTACTAAATATAAACTTCAAGTAGATTAGGGCACAACTGTGCAGGATGTTATACAGCAGTTATGTTTACAGTGAAAAAAAAAGCACAATATATGGTTAGATGCAAGTAAGCTTCCGCTACTCTCATACAATTTTAAAAGGGTGCAGCTCTACAAACCAAAACAGTTGACTTACCCAGGGATTTAGCATTTTTTAATTAGCTCTTTTATTAGAGACCATCTCCCAGTACTCTAGCTATTGAGAATATTCTAGAACGTCAGACCCAAGTACCAATTTAACTGACCTGTTACAAGGACAGACACAGAGCCCACAACATTTGTTGAGCTCTGTCAGTGTCTTCTCAGCTTCTCTCATATCCTTATTTATCTGGTCCATGCCTTCTTCTATGCGATTTAGTTGTTCTAGAAGGGAAACAAGTAACCTGAATAAACACAGACTGGAGGAAGGTGGGGGTGTGATATTAACATTTCTTTCAAGCCCGAACTTACAAGTTTCAGTCCTATCTTTATACCAAGACTAATGCCTTCTGGGATTTTATTTTTTGAATTTTAAGAAAGATATTCAGTGATAAGTTTTGTTTACTACATTAAAAATATCTTCCCTATCCTTAGAGCAGCACTTCTGTTGCTGCTTTTAGAATAAATGCAGTCACATATGGTGGAAAGAACAGCTTCTGTAGCATGGCTCTATTATATTTTAACTATGATGGTCTCTCAACTACTTTAAAACTTCTTTTAAACACTACAAACACATGGGAATAACCAATTAGCCAGTCTCATTTTCACATAAGTAGTCTTTAATAAGCCTTTAGTTTCAGCATCAACTCTTGAATGTAATTCTTTTTCTTGCATTCATAAAATTGATTTTTAGTGTCAGAGAGGAAGAACTCACCTCCCTGTTCATCCAGCATGGTGATAGTTTTGATGCCAACATCCTGGGACTGCAGAAATAAATTTATTTGCAGATATAAAACCAGATTTCAATACATCAGTGCAAAATCAGAAGGTTTCTATAGTAGATTTAATAAGCCAGCCAAGTTCATATTAAAATGCTGTCCTAGGAATAACTTCTGTAGTAAAGCTATGTTAAATTTCAAATTAGATCCTATGTTAGGCTGATAATAATCTCACCTGTTAACCTATCTCTATTAGTGTGTTTTTTGGTGAGGTTTTTTACATTACAACAAGATGATAATTTATTGTAATACTCAGCTTGAACTATGACAATGTCAAGCTAAAAAAGTAAACCTAGCTGTGCCTTGTTTTGAAAAGCAGCACTTAGTTCATTCTTTATCCCTACACACTTTAATAGGGCTGACAAGGCCTTTAGTCCTGGAAGCCAGAGTAAAAGAAAGCAAAATAAAGCCTGCAAAACCATTCTTGAGAATTCAGCAGACGAGATCAGGAAAAGAATAGCCCATACCTAGTTTTAGAACCAAGCGAAAGAAAACAGCGATGAGGAATACGCCACAGCTCTTTGCTGGCCTAAAGTCTTGAATCTAGCATGCAAGTTGCACCCATGCTTTACTGTAAACTGGCAGTGTAGAACTGCCTATGGTAGGAGTTATTTTAGCTTCTATGAATCAAACTATGATACCAAGAGAAAGTACATTGGCTCATGTTCTTAATGTTTGTGTTTGAGAAGTATTCATTAGCCTGTGCTGATTCAAATGCCTCACTGATAACAGTAGCTGCTGCAGTTCCACAGCAGCCTGCTACCATCTGGACAGTGAGTACAGGCTCTAAAGCAGTAGTGACCAAACACTTTAGGGTCCTTATTCAGTGGATTATTTTTTAGTGTTCTCACACTGACAAAAAGTGTCTTAAGTCTTCAGCACTAAAAGTCTCAGCATTAGCTTTGAAATGCATTACTGCTTAGTCTCTGGATTCCCATTTGTCTATGGCATATCCAAATACTAGCAAAATTATCTTGATGAATCAGTTAAGCTTTAAGTGTACCAGAGCTTACTATCAGCCATCTTATCTTACTCCCTACCAACAGGATGGTCTATATATTTTTTTGAAATTACAGCATCAAAAGTAAACTTTCAGTCATTTTTACAATGGGGCATGCAAACCGTAACAGTGTAGAGGAACAGATCCATATACAATATCACCTAGATAAACCCAAAACAGAGATTTATTTGTTTCTCGTCATGGTGCTAAGAGTTTCATCATCATACTTCACTATCTTTAAAGTTAAAGCTGATGAACGGATTGTAAGGTGTATGTAGAACTACTTTTGTTCAGAACCAAAAGCAGCCCTACCCTCTACTACCCCACCCAACTGAGCCCTACCCTCCTCAAAGCAGGGTATTTTCACACTGTCACGGGCAAAGTGAGCTAAAAGACAAATGGAAGATATTATGAGAAGCAAGTGATGCAGCAGCCAAAGCCATAACTGGCCACCACAGAAGACTTTTTGTAACTTATCTGTACCATTTGGATATTAGGCCATTTTGCTTAAGAGGAAAACAGGCAAAAAGGATATTGATCTTTCTGTGATCTGACTTGACATATGTGAAAAACATTAGGTTTAAGTCAATCCAACTCTACTGCTGAATTAAACTAGGGACTTCTAATATTGAGAAAGACAAAGAAGTGATTAAGATCACTTTGTGAAAGTTAACAAGCTGCTGCTTATATTGAAATTAATAAATCCACAGGGAATTCAAAAGCTTTTCCTTACCTCAATGGCCAAGCCAAGAATCCTCCTTGTGCTTTCCAAAGACTAGAAAGAGAATTTTAAAATGAGTGGTTCAACAGGATATATCAGTGTCTGAAAGTCTTCCTTACCCGCTCATTGCAGTAAGGCAACTAGTATACAAAGGTCCATCAGCATGTCTATATGTAATACACAGTACAACACAGTCATAGTGGCAGCATACTAGGTTTCAGTAGCTAGTAAACTGTTGGGTTTTAGTACTTGCTAGTGCATTGTTTATCCCATTGGAAAGTCACTACAAAAGAAAATATATTCAAATGAATTTTAGTCAAATAAAAAAAGTCAACATGAGTAAGAACAGCGTAGATACCCAGCCTGCATTGTCTCAGTAATCAGAACTGGGTTATCAGTACTCTGTGAAGCAGGTGGCTTTACAATTCAGAAGTTTTAATTTATTCTTAATTTTAGGAGTAGTCTTCAGTCCAGCATTTACCAAGTAAAGTGACAGTATAAAGCTATACCCTTGTAGAATCACTACCCTAGACTGTCTTTATTTTTAAAGGATATTGTAATCTTGGCAGGTAAGTCCTGTAATCCCCAATGGCTTCCTATAATATTTACCTCATCAGTGACCTGGTTGGCCCTCAGCTGAATTTCTTCAGGTGATAGTTCAGCCATGATGAGGAACTATTACTTGTAAGTAATCACGTTAAAGAGAATCTTCCCCCTGTAGCAAGAGATACCAGGTAAGCATCAAAATTATCCTTTTAGCAGCATTTTGACTTGAAACTAGAAGACAGTTCAAAGCATGAAAGCCTATACATTTCATTCTGTTTAATATAACACCTGGCTAGGACTAAAAGGCACTAAAATAATTATTCAGCTGGTACGACATAACTGAGGAGCTAAAAGAAATGCAGGAACAATCAGTATCCAAGACTCAGCTTTCTAAACATTTTTGAAAAATTCTATTGTTAAAGTTAAAAAATCAGGAAATGAAGTCTAAAAATAAAAAGCTTCTCTGTGTTCAAAAAGCACACTGGTTTACTCAGTAATCCAGAAAGAAATTAAGGCACTTAAGTTACTAGAGTAAGCTTTAAGTATTTTTCCCCTTCCCTTTGAGGGATTTCAACAGACAGTCAGAAGGGGAAACGTTTTCACAGACCAAGCACCACCTAAAATGATTCCAGTAACACTCTGGAAATAGTTGTTCTTATGGTATGGTGAGTCCCTCAAATGCAAAAGGATAGCAGAATCCTAGAATCCATCATTTAGGTTGGAAAGGACCTTGAAGATCACCGAGTTACAACCTCCCTGCCATGGGCAGGGACACCTCCCACTAGACCAGGTTGCTCAAGGCCACGTCCAGGCTGGCCTTGGACACCTCCAGGGATGGGGCCTCAACAACCTCTCTGGGCAACCTGTTCCAGTGCCTTACCACCCTCAAAGTGAAAAACTTCTTCCTAATGTCTAATCTAAACGTGCCCTCTTCCAGTTTAAAGCCATTCCCCCTCGTCCTATCACTACATGCCCTAGTAAAAAATCCCTCCCCAGCTCTCCTGTAGGCCCCCGTTTAGGTACTGGAAGGCCACAATAAGATCTCCCCGGAGCCTTCTCTTCCCCAGGCTGAACAGCCCCAGCTCTCGCAGCCTCTCCTCATAGGAGAGGTGCTCCAGCCCTCGGATCATCAAAAACAGGATTGCAAAAAGTTTCAAGTGGTATGTCTGCAAGTCTAGCAAAGGTTTTCAAATCTACCTTTCTCATAATTAAAGAAAGGATCAAGATTTTCTTAAGCGAAGTCCCAACACACCATGAGTTAACTGTTGCTATAAACAGGAGATATTTTTGCCTGAAGAGACAAGAGGAAAAAGCAAGCCCATCAATAAGCATGTCCTTATCAGAGCAAAGAGCTAAGAATCCACATTTTTGTTGGAGGAATGGTAATAAAGCTGGCACTCTTAGCAATGGGAAAACAGAGCTCCCAGGCAATAAAGAATTTAATAAGGTAGCACACAAGCTGAGCAATAAGAGGATTTTTTTTAAAATAAATTTTCCCCTAAATTAATCCTTGCTCTTTCACCTGAGTAGCTTCCAATTAAGTTTACGTTATCCACTGAGATGACCGAAATGTCCTGCTTGACTAACATAACTATGTTCCATTTTTCCCCCCTACAAGATTAGTATTTTAGAAGACATAATGTTAGTAACTGCTCCTAGAAAGGCAAATTCATGCAGATTCACTCAGCTAGAGAATGTATGCTGATCACAGCTCTTTGCAGGAAGTGTGCATTCCTCTGAGGGTGAATTGAAATCAAGACTCCTTTACAGATGAAATACCTCAGAATTGAGAGAATACTTCAGCAAGTCTGGTCTTTAGCACCTAACACACCTCCTCAGCCTAAGACTATGGCTCTAGGAGGTTTTTCTAAGTAGCTGTCAACACAAGGTATTTTTTGCCCTCATTAAAAAAAAAATAAAAATCAGGCATTCTTACATAAGGCCTCTAATAGCTCAGCTTGTAGTAGTCCAATTTCACTACATAACCAGTGACTTTTTTTCATTCACAGGTTTAAGTTCCTTTCACAAAGTTTATTAGGGCAGCTCAGTCCCAACTCTGGATTTGGGAATGCCATTCAAGCCGATTTGCACAGCAAAGGGCCAGTAAAGCCAGGACAGGGAGGAAAGGTGCTATTTTCACCTAATTAGATTAACCACAGGAAAGTGACATCAAGCTGGTTCTTTGGGTGAAGATCTCACATCTACTTAATATTCAGAAACAGGATGAAATTTCAATTTTATACTTGCACTGAACAAGCAATATATGGGTTACTTTAATTGTTGCAGATTTGGCCAGCCTTTCTCAGCTTTGGGTGCCACACAGTCAGGTAATTCTGCAGCTTGGAGCCATAAAGCAAATCTCATCTTGGACAGCAAAAAGGATATCACATCCTCACCCTATCAGTACAACAGCTTCCCAAGAATCCAACTGTAATTGTGTAACAGGGCCAGAAATGCAGCTGTATTCCCAGAGCAACCCAGAGATTTGTTTTTCAGTAGTCGTGGTGTCCTGCTTCCTTTTGCAGCACTGCATTCAGGCTACCCTGGCAAGAGGAACAAGAGGACAACAAGAGGACAAGAGGAAATGACCTCAAGTTATTCCAGGGTAGGTTTAGACTGGATATTAGGAAAAAGTTCTTCACAGAAAGGCCTGTTAAGCATTGGAACAGGCTGCTCAGGGAAGTGGGGGAATTGCCATCCCTGGAGGTATTTAAAAGATGAGTAGACGTGGTGCTTAGGAACATGGTTTAAGGGTGTTTTTGGCAGTGTTAGGTTGATGGTTGGACTTGATGATCTTAAAGGTCCCTTCCAACCTAGACAATTCTATGATTCTACCCAGGAGTTCATATACCAACATAAGCACAACCGCTGGCCGTATGATATAACCCTAGCTCAGAAGGTGTCTTTGAGTTACCCTAGAGCCACACTGCAGCCAATGCTATGCACTACAATACCAATTTCTTTGCTTTTGAGGCAAGGGCATGACAATAATATTCTCAAGCATGCATGAGAAGGATTTGTTTATAAATTAAGTCTCTAATGAGTAATCTTATCTTTGAACAGACGTTTGCAAATACATTACACTACTACCTTCACATCAAGAAAACACCCAAAATCTGAAGAAAGAATGTATATGTTATCAAGCCAGATATTGAATTTTGTGTTTTATTCAATACTGCCAGAATGTTGTCTTGTGCTAGCTGAACTGCACGTTCACAGAGAAGCCATTGAAAAACAAACCAGCAATGAGACTGAAAAAGAAAAACGAAGGAGACAACAGTCAGCACTTCCAACTCCCAAGCCAGTAATTCTTGGTGGTACAGTTTGGAAGGTAACATATTACTAGAAGCTGACAGTCATGAATTAGCTTCAGGACTGAAGCTCACGTACACTACGCTAAATTCACCCTGGGCTGACAACTGTGATATATTAATAAAGTCTTATGAAAGATAATGCCACATTGAAATAGGATAGTGCTTACATGAAGAGACATAGCAATTACATAAAGTAGCTCCTTCATGTACTACTAGCTATCAAACTATTCCCCTGATCTTTGTCCTATTTATGTTAGCTCACTAAAGAACTAGCACAAATAATTTAGTAACACACTAAACCAGAAAGTGTCTGAAGTTGCAGCTGATACCAGACAACACCTTGAAAACACAAGCACTTGCCACCAGATCCACCAGTGCTGACAGAGCAGCTTTGCGTTCTCCTAGCTTGCTCACAGCTTCCTGAACAAGTCCACTGCCAGCCAGCAAGAAGTTCGAGACACACACAGCACTCCTCCCACTTTCCCCCAAACCAGTGGTATTTGGTCTTGAAACTGTTTATGAATTGACCTAACACTGAAGAAATCCAGCTGCAAGATACAAAGGAAGAAATTCTTCTACATAGCAGAAACCCATAATACAGAGCAAAAAAGTTAATTCCAGAATTCCTCTAAGCTGAGGTATGCTCGTGTTTATCTTCTGATGCTCATATTTGGACACTCGTAGGGTTTAGCCTCTTGTGACATGAAAACATGATCTAAAGTGTTAGTTCATATGTTCAATTTACAACTGCTAGGATAACCGACCTATGTGGGAGGAAGCTAAATAAAACTACTCAGAACACTTGGTTAAGAGACTTGTGTTCTGACAATCTTTTATCCCAGATAATAAGGTACAGCTACTTGCTGGTCTTTTCTGATCACTTCTTGAGGTCTTATGTCACTGCAAACAGTGACAGAATCTTTCTTCCTCTAGTATTCCCAGCAGGCTTACCCACCTTCACTTTTCAGCCATTGCCATTAGAGCTATGTAAAACAAGATAGCATTTCCTTCTTAAGACAGACTTAAGAAAGCATGCTCTTTGAATGGGTTTGATTATAACGTCTGTTTAAAGCTGAATATCCAAACCCAATGCATTAGACTCCAAAAAGCCACAGTTTTATTCCTATTAGTTTGTACAACTGAGTTGGCCAGCATTGCTTCTATAAGCACACGCACAATCTGCCCAGTAGCTCTGCAGCAGAAGTTAGTCCCACGAGGTAGAAAAGAAAGAGACATTCCCTAGGCAGTTACAAAAAGACTTCTCACCACACAGCATTTTATAACATCCAAAAATGCACACAGGAGTAATTCAGAAGAAACTGAACATTTCCCAAAGATGGAGATACACACTTGATAGCTGCCTGTCTAATTGGAATAGCTGGAACATAGCAGGTGCCTGTATTGCAAGATATCTCTACAGAAGATGTTAGAACACCCAAGATGAGGCCATTTGTATTGAAGTAATACCTCGACTATTTCAACAGAACAGCATATACAAACATAAAGAAAGGATACTCATTCCCCCATCTTTCTGCCTGGGAATCATGAAGGACCCACTGATGTACCCAGCTCTTAAGTTAATGGTATATGACAAAATGATTTATTATGTAAGACATCAAGATTCCTCAATAAAGACAAAATATTCAGAGAGAAAATACTTTATATAGTTAAAGTGTTCCTGGCATGTATTTTTATTCTAATGTAAGATTTGCTAAGGCAAGCATTTATTTTACTATCAATGCTCAATGCCTATTTTCGTTGCTTTGCCTCTCCTAACACTTTTAAAATCTTAGCCACAAAGTAACCAAAGAAAAAGAAGACAGCCCACAAAAAGACTTCATAATAATATTA